GTGTTGTTATATACACGTGTGTATTGTTAAGAAATATACTTTACAAAAGCAATGGAGGACTTTTTCCCAAGTTTCCACAAGTTCATCGAAACCGGCCAGGGTGAGTGATCTTGCATGGTGAGAGTACTCCAAAGTTCTACATTTCCGGCTTGAATAACTCCTTTTATCACATAAACTGCGGTGTTATAGAGGGATTTCCGGCCCTGAGAAAAGCCGTAACAACACACGTGAAAAAATATCGTATTTTTTCACGTGTGTTGATATAGCCAATCAGCTACTTATACGTCACTCGCCTTTGGCGCCACTCGGTCAGGTTGATGAATGAACGGCAAAGCCTTCACGATTCTCATTACAAGTTGTTTGTCGGAGCTTTCTTGAATTACGGCGGCTAAAACACTAAAAAATCCATATCGCTGACAGACAATGAGGTACAAACTTTCCTAGAAGGGGAAGAAAACCAGTATACTAAAAGAAAAACCGAAAGTTGCGTATTCAGTAGCTTTGGTGTCAGCATTTCTCTCGCCTGAGAATGAAAATCGACACTGGCCGATTTTGGCCGTTTACCTGAAAGACTTCTTCCGTCGGAAAGGAGAATGTCAATAAATGAAAATTTTTTAAATTGAAAATTACGACCATTGTTGTTTTTGTAATCATGATTCAACGTATTTTTCCATCTTAAGAGTCAGCGCCAACGCACTCTACGATTGGTATTCGAGGATTGTCGATTCATTTATTTTCATTCATTAATGAAGTCGGCTTTTCTTCCCAGTAAATGGCTATTTGTTATAAACAAAATAATACATGGTTGCTTGTAGATATGGAATTTTTCTTCTCGTGCTCAACTCGAATAGAAATTTCATATCTACGCGCGCCCATGTATTATTCTCTATTTATCATGCTCATAATCACAGATAGCTAAGAGAGAAATTAGATAGAATGGGGAACACATGATGGGGTCTCAAAAATAAACACATAACTACAGCTGCTAGCAATCAGAGGTATCAGAACCACCACTTTAAATGTAGCCGATAACCAAATTAATAATATTTGTTGGTTTTATTGCTACAGGGAAAGGCAGAACGTCGAGTTTTCAAATGGCAAGTATCAAAAATTCGGAATCATCACGAGGAGAGAATACTATCTTCATCCTCGGAGTTAGAGTTAAATTAAACACAAATGCAGCGGTAGATCAAAAGAAATAAACGTCACCGTGTTATTTTGTTTTCCAAGGTTTTGTCGGCTGGATCATTTTTCCCGTCTAATATTATATATTCTTAGGTACTAATCAACAGCGTTTAAAAAATTAAACTCTATGATCAAGGATATAGCTCATCTCTGATAGTATTTTGCAGTTTGACAACGATAAAGTAACGGATTTAGTCCAAATTAACGCAAATCAGGTGTATGCTTCAATCCAAAATTCGGTTCAGCCGCACTCAAATTAACATACCCTTATTACTTCCTTTATGATCCCGCCTGTGAGACAGTGAACGTGAGGCTGTCAATAAATGTCTTATTCATGAGAATATTTTTAACTTAAGATATGAGATTACAACTGTATTAGTTTCAAAAAATTACACCGTCGAATTTATGACGATACTCTTGAAGTTCTGTTCAGTAGGTTTGCTTTACTTATGACCTATCTTGCAAGAAAATAGTCTTAAATATAGACATTATTACATTAATATGATAAAGTTGGTGATGTTGACTGATGACTAATTATTTTAGCATTATACCTTATCCCTACAAACTGCGTCTCATTCGCACTCTTGTTGATAGAGCCTACAAGATCAACAACACATGGTTGGGTTTCTACGAAGACATCAAGAAACTCACTGAAATCCTTAAAAAGAATCTTTTTCCAGCCCATCTGGTTGAAAGGGTTGTCGATCGGTACCTCACGCTCACCCGTGATGAGTGCGATCCCCTGGTCTCCGTTTCAGACACAACTACTAACTT